AAACACATGGATCTCCACCTAAACTGTGCATGGAAACCTGTTCGAGGCTGCAGAAACCCTGAGACTGCGGTGGAGGTTAACATTCTAGCTGGAGAATCACCCTGAACATTCAGCCCAATACAAGAATGTCCTAGTCAAAGTCCAGACCTGAATCTGGACTTTGAGTAAATGTAGTAGGACATGGGAACTGGTGTTCTTAGCAAAGAAGAATGAGGAAAACAGAGCATGGGCTTTTTCTCCAAGTTTTTAAAACCTCCAGCTTTCCATATTTATAGAAGCAAGGAACAACTTCCAGAGGTTTTTGCAGATGTTGCCCCCCTGTGACGACCGGTTGAAAGGTCACCATTAGTGTGCACATGCATGGGAGAAGAGAAAAAAGTCTGTTGCTGAAACTCTCCTGTGTTTATTTTACAGGCATAACATCATCTGAGGAAAGAAGGTATTTAGGTTTTATTAACAGAGCATTTTTTATTTTCTGTGGAAACCCCTCAGATAAGTTAGGAGCTCTGGAAATCAGAAGAATCTGGACTGAAAAGCTTGTAACATCCCAGAGTTTTTTTGGGTCTCATAACCAGTTCCACTTCCTGGTTCTGACTCGGTCATCGACCTTCTCCGTCTGTCCAGGCGGTGGCCGACGAAGGTGTCAGCGTTCTGGTTCACTGCTCAGACGGATGGGACAGGACGGCCCAGGCGTGTTCGGTGGCCAGTATCCTGCTGGACCCGTTCTACAGAACCATCAAAGGATTCATGGTAACGCACAAACATCCGGGTAGAAATCAGAGCTCTCTCTGAAAGTCTCTGAGTTCCTTCTCTTCCTCCTCCAGGTGCTGATAGAGAGGGACTGGGTTTCCTTTGGACACAAGTTCTCACACAGGTCAGTGAGAGGAACCCTGATGGCATCAGGTGGTTTCTGTTCAACATCAACCATCAGCCGTCGCTGGTTGAAGAACATAAAAACAGTCTTTGTTCATCTACAATAAAAAAAAAAAAAAAATTTATTTCGATAAAACAGGATTTAGTGTCCGTTCCCTACCAGCAGGTTGATTTCTGAGTACTTCTAGAGATGTTGTTGAAGGAAGAGTCAGCAGAAGCTCCTCCCCCTCTGCAGGTATGCCCACCTGGATGGAGATCCTAAAGAGGTGTCCCCCGTCATGGACCAGTTCCTGGAGTGTGTGTGGCAGCTCTCTGAGCAGTTTCCATGTGCCTTCGAGTTCAACGAGCGTTTCCTCATCACCGTCCACACGCACGTGTACTCCTGTCAGTACGGGACCTTCCTGGGGAACAGTGAGAAGGAGCGTCGGGACATGAGGTATGGATCTGGGAGGGCGCAGCAATCCCATATGCAGGACCGCGTCCGTCCGCTGCTACGTTCATGATGTCATGATTTTTCCGTTGTTTTCTCCCCAGGCTGCATGAGCGCTGCCACTCTGTGTGGCCTCAGCTGTGGAAGGACAGATCCCAGTACACCAACCCGCTGTATAAGGCCGAGCTGAGCCAGAGTCAGGGCATCCTGAGGCCCAACACCACTCCCTACTGCTTCAAGTGAGGAACTGCAGCTTTGGTCTCTGAATGTCTGTTAGAAATTAAACAAGCTGTTCGGGAAAAGCTGCTAGGGTTAGATTCTTCAGACCAGAAAGTGATACTATTCCTGCATCACATATATTAATAAATAAAAATAAAAAACTATTCTATCATCTTACTCCAAATGCATAATATCTAATTATCTTATTTTAAATGTTTTATTCCAGCATCAAAATCTTCATATAGAAGGTGAGTTATGGTAATTGGGGGAGTGGCGGCCTAGAGCTAGGACAGACCCACAGACTGCCACTCTGGGTCCCTGAGCAAGACCCTTAACCCCACACTGCTCCCCGGGCGCCACACAATGGCAGCCCACTGCTCCCCAAGAGGATGGATTACATGCAGAGTTAATTTTGTTGCTCTTTGTGACAGTGTAATGACAATAAAACCTGGAAACAAAAACAAAAGTCATACAATGCTCTCTGAGGAATCGACAATAGCTGCTCAAGTTAACAGCTTCAACATCTCCAAACAGAGCCTCTGATATGCAATGAAAACTACTGCCCCCTGAAGGCGCCTCACGGCCTACGGCCTATGCTGCGTTCACACCGGACGCAGCATAAGCAGCGAGTTTACATGCAAAGTCATGGTTGACGTGTGTCAAGGAGCAGCAAAAGGTCCCGCAGCTCGTTTTGAGCAGCTGAAGCAGTCAGATGCTTAAACGCTCCCGACGCGCTGCTGCTCGAGATGGAAAAATTAAAGTTTTGCTGCTCGACGCGCCGCAACAACCTATCAGAGAAGCTGATCTGGGAGCTAGCAGGGAGACAAACACATAGCTGATGATACAGAGCGCTATGATCACTCCTCTGAAACAGTTTATTAACACCTAAATTAACTTAAAATACTGAAACCTGCCGACATGTTCGCTTTTATTATCCTGGTTCCTGCAGTTAGGATTATGTACATGAAAAACCACCTTCAGACCAACTTTTTCACCGCACAGCCAGAGCAGCAAAGATGCTTCAGCCACGCATCAGAACTAAACTGGTACAAACGGCAAAAAGGAAGCGGCAGACACAATCTTGCTGCTCCTGCTGCGTGCAGTGTGAACGCAGCATTAGTTCCTGCTGTCTTAATTGGAAACAAACGCTCCTAAAACCACAGATTGTAAACAACTTTTAAACAGGACTTAAAGATACTTTGGAGGATTTTCTTGAATTTTTAAAAAAAAACCCACCCTATCCACTTTTTAAAAAATGCGCGTGCGAGAGCATGCACAAGCCCATTTCTCCTCTGTGCTCATACAGGCCTGAACATCCGCCCTAACCTCTAAATCCCTCAGTCACTATAAAGAGCAGACTCAGAGAAAACTCAGTTAACTGACCATTCGGACAAACGATCACTACTTTTTGCTCCCCTTTCCTGTCAGGTAGCAGTACCTATGGTGACAGCAGGCCGCTGTAACACCAAATCCCATTATCATTTGCGAGGAGAGCTCAAGTCCTGAAACCCAAAGGGTTTTTTTTTCCCAGCAAGAGGTTTGGGAACCAGTGTACTAAAAGAGAAATGGAGGACGTTTTGAAATTAGGAAGACGCCCAGCGCATGTGATGATCCAGAAAAACAACTTTCAAACTGCATTCAGCAGAAACGTTTGCAGTTTGTATACAGGAAAACCGACCAATCACAATGGAGCGTGTTCCTTCATGATCTGTGCTTTAGTCCAGACAGCTGAGAGAACATTGGCCACAAACAAAGTGGATTCACAAAGTATTTAGTCCTTAAACACCACGTGATTCCATCCATGAAAGCAGCCGATAAACAAAACACATGCCTAATTTAATAAGACTTTGTGCCATTCAAGCTAAATGCTAACGTGATGCTGTGCTAGCTAAATGCTTTTAACA